GTTATTATATAAATTACAGTTTGTTTGTTCAATCTAACATTAGAGTCAGTCAGAACAGTCTGCATAATAGTCTGTCTGTGTAACACATAAAGAGATATAGAAATATTGTCTTCGCATTAACAAAAATCCCAGACTTCAGATGAATGTAATACAAATATCTGGGAAAAATAAAGCTTGGAGTCAATTCTCCTATATAACTTTGTTGTGTGAAGCATCCTTGAGATAAAGTTTATTGATGTATTATTATGAGTCAATAATGTATTTATTCCATTTTTTCACCAGTCTAATCGTAGTTTTATAATAGAAAAGAAATTTGATCTTTGATACGAAAACTAGATAAGTTCATGTTAGATTGTTTTACTGCATCAAATGAGGTCGATTCCAGAACTATTCATTGACGCCATTTGCGTCAGCATGGCAGACCGTACATGTAAGTTGAGTAATACATTGAAAACTACTTGAAAACCAGTTGTTTCTTTATATCAGATCAAGAATACTCTTTGAACAGAATGTTGGCCAGCGTCTTCAAATGGTAGCATCGGATCGTTCATGGGATTTGAGTGTGAATGTACTTAAATGATCTGGAGTCCATGCTTATATACATTATTATCATATCGATGATGCCTGCCAACTAGTGTGCATAAAGTGAGAATATATTATTATGAGATGCATTTCATTGTTGTATGAGGGAAATGACTTCAAGTGTTATTTTTCCCAAGTATTTGTAATCCATCCAACGCATACTTGGTTTTTTTGTTAATGCGCCATTTGCGTCAGCATGGCAGACTGTACATGTAAGTTGAGTAATACATTGAAAAACATTGAAAAATACATATGAAAAACTTTAGGAGGATAATGGGTATGTCCTCACCACCTCTTTTCAACAGAATATCAGGGCGGGCATTATGTAATGACCGTAGAGATGACATCGCGGATAAACATTTTGTTGAGTAAATGTTATAATAATAACAATAAGGCCCAGGAGTATTAGTAAGCTTAATGTTTGCAATAGTTTTTCGATCTCATGTATTGTGAAAGTCATGTCACACAGACATTTTTCTGTTACCCGCGGGAAATCCATGACGCGATCATTCTCCAAGGTGCATAGTCTGGCAAAGTGCTTGCCAAACGGTTCAGATATCACCTCAGCACTCTTGCAAGCAATGCCGTCTGAGTATATTATTTTTACATATGCCGCTTCAGAGTTCGCTAAACTACTTTTGAAAAGTTTGGCTACTTCTTTTGGGTTATAGGGTAGCTGAACGGTTCGCATTTCTTTGTTTCTGAGGCTAATATTTTTCAACTTTTGAATTCTAATGGGAACAGTAGTGCCAATTAATGATGGTAAGTTAAAATGTCTGTAGTATTTTGCTGAGTGCTTTCATATACTTCTCCCTAACGATGCCAGAATATAGCAGCTTTGGGGTAATTTGATGCTAAGAATCTCCTCAGGCTCAATGACATCATGAATTGACTTTATAGTGTGATGAAAATTGTTAAGAACTGCCTCTAAGGACTCATTCGACAATCCCAATTAGAGCTTCTAATTAAATGCCAGTACAAGTCCCAGTCATCCTGTGTGTATAACTTTATAGGTGTCTCGCCAGCTTAATTTCTGTGAATTGTTTCAGGAAAGATGTTGAAAGAGCACATCATCATTTTATGGTTACTGATTGGAAATTCATTTCCAACATATACGGTTCACGGTGCTATGTTTTTTGTGGATATAAGATCTAGGATATTTATGGATCTAGTGGGTGAATCTATATATCACATCTACCCTCCTGTGGCGATGGAGTTCAAAGGATTAACATATCCTGAATGTCTTCGAAGTGAGAGCCGTCATGCCTATGGCATGTTGAAACCATCTCCAATAATTCTATTACTGAAGGGAAGATTGGCTGTATTCAATGATCGTCCGTATATAGGAGTTAATGTACTTAGTGTTAAGTGTTTGTTTAGAACTGATTTAGTATTTACGAGGATAGCGGGTAAACACTAGCCATGTCATATGGGTGTGCGGACAATATCTTTATAAAATAATCCGTGGCTACCAACTGAATACACGCAGCTGTGTTTCGATTCGCTAACCGCAATCTTTGGATCACCGGAAGATTTCAGCAGGCTTGTGAGGTGGCAGTCAGGGGTGACTGGTGTTTGGGTCGTATACCATAAGAGATACATGCTTGATAATTAAAGATATTAGAATTCACATTGGGTGTAAACACTGTGTCAGTTATCTTCTGGTAAGTTTGCCTTGCCCTAGCTATGGACTGTTCGTCGTGATAGCATGGAATAGATCCGATGTCATGCAAGATATATGCATGATCCCAGGTATTTCCGTTAACTGACGCTGGTGGAAATTCTGCCCGATGCAGGCATTTGGGCCAATGTTATTGTCTAGGTTACAAGCTATATGGATGTTTGGCAATTTGTTACCAGGATGGAAATATAATCTTGTTAACTGGTGGAAGTACACATCGAACCATGGGAAGTTTTGTGCACAGGTCGGCACATGCTCCTTTCTGAATATGTAAGATGTATGAATGGGTTGTATGGGATTATTCAGCTTCCTGGGTGTAGTCTATAACAAATGTTTGAGGGATTTTCTGTAATACTCCAGGGTCTCAACAGCTCTGAGCTCTGTAGTCACTCGGGGGTGGAAATTGATTAGGGAATTGGGAAGGTCGGAGGGAGTAATCAAGCAGGAAATGTACTTACTTTATGGCTTGAAGGGATTTCTGTATTTACTGGACAACATTGAGCAATAAAAGTCCTACTGAAGGGTTGATAGGGTTTCCGTTTTCACTTTACTACCGGCGTGTCTACAAAATATACATACAATAATTGCTCCCTTTCATCGTCACACGCGAAGGTAGTTGCATTTACTTCTGGTTAGGACAAATCATCTGACGGCGATGACTGGAATTACTGATCCCACTGAATTTTGTCTGGTATTTAAAGAAAGTCAGTGGCATTTCACCGTAAACTATCTGATGGAAGGTACTCCAGATATCAGAATACATATATTCCTTATGTGTATCGAAGTCCGGTTGAGCAGCCATGGAAACCAAAATAATTTTTCGAGAGAATTCTGACGGCGTGACGCCAAATAGTTTAGTGTGTGTGAATACGGACATGCAACCACATGCCCGGTATTTCTTATACGAATTACAGTGTATCAGACAGATGGGGGACGAGTTGATATCTGCTAATTAAGATATGCATAAACCCAAGCAAAATAAGCACATTATCTAACGTTTAAATGCATAATGAGTGTGCCTAAGACCATTCATTTATGTGCATTACTCTATCAGTTACCCACTTTGAAAGAAGATAGTTAGGCTCCGGTGTAACAACAGTTTAAAGTATATAAGCATTATGTGGATGATATTTTTGTAATTGTCAACGAAGATGTTGATCTAAATAAAATTCCGGAAGTAGTTAGTTAGTTTCATTCTAGAAGCTGAGTCACACAGAAACCACCCTTTCTTAGATGTTTACCTTTCAGGAGGAAATGATGGATTAATCCAGAGATCAATTAATCGCAAACCAAAATAGAATCGGTAGTTGAGTAACTCCCAATTTTGTCCTAATAACTGGAAAAATAAACCTCATCAAATGTAACAACAGAAGACAAGGGCCAGGCAGCAGATTGTTTATTAAGGAAAATCAACACATATTTACAGATTTTAATGTACATTATTGTAGATTATTGTTAGTAGAAAATAGTCTTTCGATTGGTTGTTTCTCACGGAAAGTTAACCTTGCATCTCTTTGTGGATGTGTCAGATAATCCATATGCTAACTGTATCCGCCTACGCAAAGCATTTGTTCTCATTTTCTCACCACCAATATTGGGGACATAAACATTGACGTCAATTACTATCTACCAACTTTGGCTAGCAGCCAGCTCTCACCACACCGGTATTCTCGAAATGAACAGCATTGACAAGGACAGTATTGTACACTTGTTTGGTTAGAATAGCGAATAAAGTTATCTGGCAACCATAATCCAAATGGAAACCATGCAATGAAGCCGTGGATTAGATGCATGATAGCAGTCACTAACCAGCGAGCAACTGAGGTATCCATCCGGGTCATACAGGAAGTCAATTGAAAGCCCGAAAGGCTCATTGGCTACGTATATGAATATAGAACTGGGTGACCCAGGTTCGAATGGCCGAAAGGACAAGTGTTGCTTAAATTTTGCATATACGCTTATGCTGCCGAGTGCCAATAGGCACGAAATCTAGACAGAAGACTTGCTGCAGATTGCATCCGAAAATTTAAAGGTAGGAAACCATATTCGGTGTGAACTGATAACATTTGCGTTTTAGCTGTAGAAATTAATAATAAGTTCTCCAACAGACCTGAGGGTTAATGATATAATCACATGCGGTTTTCTTATTTCTTTTTGTTTGATGTGCAAATCAACGCGCATAATGAATACAGGATCTACATTAAGGGAAAACTACTCACAGGAAGTGAAAATTAAAACTTCAATCGTGGGATGAGATATGTGAAAGGATCAACTCAATTCACAGTAGTAACAGTCTTAACACACCTCATACTACAAATCACATATAATTAATCCCAGCACTCCTTTTAGAGTCAACCGAAGCTACGACAGTCGAGTGGCGGGACGAGCTACGCAGAAGTTTACAGAAGATCAGGAACCTATACCTCACAATCAAGAGGCGAGCACAAAGAAATCAAATTGGTTTATACTAGCTCGTAAAAGCGATATTGGATGTGTTCATCAGTAAAGTAGCGTAGATTGCAGAAACAAGCAGCGATCTAGGAATCACTTCCTTAATCACAGTAACGTGGAGCCAGCAGCCAAAGCGGAGTCGAAATCTATATAGAAATTATCTCAGAGTACCGAAATGAAATTGTACGGATGTATTAATGGCAAAGCTTTTTGTAAAATTACTGCATCTCACGTTTCAATCATGAAATTTGTTTAACAAGACCACTAAGATGAAATGTCATAGTAACTCTGCATAAGAATTTCAATTAGGATCAGATGAGCGGCGACAACACAGAAAGTAGTTTTATCACTTTCTATTGCTTAATACATATATTAAGGAGTTACATCAGTCGCAGTAATATTCCAATTTGACGGTGCTTTATGTAAAAAGTTCAATAATAGCATAGTCCGTCAGAAAAGTGTGATGAGAAGTTATGGGAATGGTCAGCCAGTTGGATTTGCAGAAGAAGTAAGAATCAAGTAGTTTAAGTGAAGCGTATTTCGAGTTTTCAAGTGGTGTCAAAGATTTTAATAGCCTAGAAGTACTCAAAACAGTTTTTAAGCCAAACCTCATATTTCACATAGTTGGTGTTTAATCAATAGTAAGTCAGTCAGAAACTTAGTGTTAGTTGTACATTCCACTCGAAGCTATGCAGGGCAAATGATTTGATTGTAACCACACAGAAAGAGAAATACCAATAGGGAAGAGATCTTATAAGATCTCGAAATGACTTGGAAAATTTTCCAAATCATTTCGAAATACATTACAATCATTGATCTAACAACTCAAACTATCATGGTTTATCTAGGCCAAACCAAGTAGTAAAGTGCCAAAAATGTACTTATTTGGAAAAGCTGTAAGGTAGGACAAATAATAGTGGACTGAGATTAGGAATTTTCGATTAAGGTAAAACACTTTCAACCAGCGTCAATACTTTCACATTGATTGTCTATCCTTTTCCGCTCGCGCAGTAAACAGATTACTTGAGGAAACTGACGTTACTTTTGCTGGCGTTAACTGAATGGGTTGTCTCAGAGAGTGGGATCCCACTTTGGAGTCCTCCAGGATGATATGGTTGTTACCTGGCTTTTATACCCTAATCTTCTGTAGTGTTCTGTTTTGAGCGGGTGAGAAAAGGAGACATAAATTAGGTATATGGCCGTTTCTCATAATTATGAACACGACAATTATATCTGCTTTTTGACTACTACAGTATTAGTTGTCATAGGCCTGAGAAATTATTCATTCATTTGTATATGTGGTATTGCTTAAACTCGTTCAAATATGTGCTTCACTACCTCAGCTAAGACTGACTGCAATTTTCCAGTTGCAACCCTGTTAGAGGTGCATACAGAGTAGTGAATATACCACTAGTGATCCTAATAAATATGTTACCCAATGTTGAAGGGTTCTGAATTCAATTTTGAGTCGTTACTCATTGTGAAATGAAAGGACAAGCATTCCATCTATATTTACATGCCTATTAACTTAGCTGTTTTTATGGGAAGTACTCCCTATTCGAACAAACTTGACCCATTACTGTGGTTTCTTTACAATATATGCCTATGACCGTTATCTCTTAGCCCACTCCAAATTTCCGTGTCACGTGCATAGAGAACCACGAGAGGAGTTGATAAGTCTAAATAATTCTTAGAAACGCGGAATAAAAAACAGCGGACTAAGTTAGTTATCGGATCAAAAGTGTAGCAGTTTTTCAAAACTTATAGCCGAAAGACCACAACGACTATTAAAAATGTAGGATAATACATGGTCTGAGAAAATTTCACGTAGGACATTGAGTAAAAGTCGATAAAAGTCATCCGACATTGTTAACCTTCTTTATTTAATTTAACTTATCTTCCCTTAGATAACACATTATCTTTTGTCGGTTAAGACTTTTTCGGGGACATGTAAAAATTATTTCCAATTATGTGGATGGAATTTTGATACCACTGTCTAGGTAGTATAGCGCATTTTTAGTACTTTGGACGATAGAAACTAAGAGTATTGTAAATATCAATTTCAATCAAGGACCCAGTTTAAAAGTTGTGAATAGGGTGTAATTTTATGGAATGTGTAAAGTTTGGTTATTGTAGTGCTTATTAAAAGACTTGTTTATAATATGCAAATATATAAAACACTATGCCATATCAGCACTAAGAACAGTATATATATTTATATTAGCATATTTTTATTCACTTGTTATACGATACAGAGATAGTTAATTGCAATTTCTCAGTGTAAGGGCCTGTTTGTGTGCATCCATAAGGAATAACGGCCGACACTTTTGGTCACTTCCTTAGTTTTCAAAACGTATGTGGAATAAACATGCAGGTAATACTGCATTCCGTCCCCGGAATGTGTACAACCTGTAATTATATTCCACTTGTGCTGCTGCAAGCTTGTTTAACTTTATGTGATTGATTGCCATCACAGTAGTTACTTATTATGTGTTTTATTTTAGTTGACTTGAGCTATTGACCTATGGTCTGATACCAACCTACTTTGAACAGTCAAGGATGTTTTTGATTTGCACTTTTTAAAAGTATATTTTGAGTTTCGATATAAGGCTTCCTACTGTGTAGATTTCACCTAAAAGTACAACCTAATAATGTAAGTCGGCTATCGAACTAGGTTTTGCAATAAACAAATTAAAAGTGACACGAACGATTTAAATACCAAGTTACCCTTTTAATCAACGGCACTCATTACTTGGATAAAAGTCTTTTAAAAGCCAAGTGAACCTATGCAGTGTGCTTAAGATTAATAAAAATACGTCAAGATCAAGAAAGATTACTGAATAGCAATAATATCAAATCTACCACACCTAATTTAATTAAGACCTTACACATATGAAAGGATATACTGATATAGATGATCAAATGTGAAATAATACAAACGCTGTTTCTGTCAAGCCACCGGCCTCTACGCACTTTCTAGTAAAGTATGGAAAATCCATTGTCTCAGGCGACCTATATATAGAAGAGATGGCTTACTAGTCGACCAAAACTTTGATATTAATGAGTGACAGTCCTCTAAATGTAGGCCATAGCACTTGGGACTATTCGACATAGATAACAGTCGTGTTAAGTAACCACAGCATCTTAGTTTTTCTACGAAGTACATGCAAAATAATTCTTCTTATGTTAATTCCTGATTGATTAGCCGTATGACCTAAATTGGTGCTTTTTATGCAAGCGGATTAGGATCTTGTGCATCAGTCATATAGGGCTAATGGAATACAAATATAACAAAACAACTGTTAAGAATAAATATATGTAATAACACATTTATGGAGTCTGTGTACAGACTTTGAATGTTCTCCCATCTAGTAACACTTGACATAGTCGCAAGGTTGCGGTACCTATCCCTTAGAGTGATGGTATAAAATAGTGAGCTAACTCAATTTTGAATATTATGAATTAGTTTGAATATTTCAAATGATAAGTTCGTACAGATGCTGAGATTTTACCGTTAGAAAAGTACAAATAAATTAATACGTCTGTACTGTTACAACTGCATTATCGTAGGAGAAATTTAAACATTATTACTTTCTTACTCTAAAAGTTATTAAATTCGTCTTGGTTTCAAACTAATCTTCTTGTCAAATAAAAAAATTAACTTTTAGGTTATATGTTTAACTGGTGATTGGAAACGAAATACAACTATAGGGGTCCTTCATTTCGACTCAGTTGAAGCAGCACAAAGGTGGCTTAACAGTGATCCGATTTTTCGCCAGCATGATTGGCTTGATGATGCAGAAATTTGGATTGTACCTTTATTATCAGAGATTAAACGTGAGTTTAAAATTACATCACATTTCTCATAATAGCAACATACCGTAAATAACTAAATACACCACTCGAATTATAACTAACCGAAATTTCAGTCGGTAAACAGAACTAGTCTAGGAAACCGTAAGATTTTATGACGATGTTTTGAAGTTAATGCTTAAAAATGCAATCACATATTTAAGTGATACAAAGAAAATGGCTTCAAATGTTCGAAATGACTCTGTGGAGCACGAATTTCTTTGGTGTACTTATGTGAATGTTGAGGGCGAAAATACAGTAATGGGGACGTATATAATCTACTTTGCATGCTTAAATCTGACCAATGAGAACTTATAGATCCGGATGTTTCATAAGGAAAGATGGATGAAGTGCTTAGATGTATTTCAAATGAAGTGAGAGAAAAACCAAGCTGAAAAAAACTCAGAAGTTGGTGCATTGTTCATGATACTTTGAGCAGTTAGGTAAGCTACACAAATTACGATTCACGATCTTTTAGTCATGTCAGTCACAACATTTAATCGACTTGCACTATATTTATGTAAATTACCTTGAATCTTTCCAAATTACTGTTTATTACTACAATAATGAACACATTTTTACACGAAGATAAGTTTCCTTGACTTTACCGAGATATCATTTCGACAATGGCTAGCAACTCTGAATTTGATTAACGTACACCAAGATAAAAGATTCACTGGACAAAACAACTACTTTTAAGCTGCAACTGTGAAAAATACATCATTTATAGTAAAACTATTTAGTTATGACTCAGTTAACTGGAAGAGATGAAACATGTATCCATCTGTGAGCCACATTTATTGTGTGAGAGCTGATGATGCTGTAAGTGTACTGGTATTACTATTGATTACTTACACTGTATCAGCCTTACTAAAAGTAATTTACCTAATTACCCAGGCAATCAGTACTCTGCCTGACTTGTAAGTACTGATAATAAAACACAAATCAAAAAGATTCAGTTAATTAGTAATGTGCCCTGGTGAGCAGTATATTTAGAACTGGAACCTGTCTAGCTAGTATAACTGAACTGTGGGCCCAGAGACTGTGCCTGTTAAAAACACAATGAAGGAGTGCAGAAATGGAGTTCCAGCTTATCCAGATGTATGCTTGTTAAAACAAAACTTATTACACTAAAAGATGTACCACACTGCTGCCTAGTTACCAAGGTTGAAGCCGGTAGAGCAGTCTACGAGCCCAGGATCTCCTAACTGAAAATCGAGTACTTAGACTAATGAGGTGCGTAGTCAATTGATTGTACAGAACAAAATACCTGGGTTTAGTTAACATTATGCATTGTTGGTGACGTTATTTTCCTAGTTTTAAAGAGATATTTCGACGTACTGTTTATTGTCACAATGCCAAAATGTACTAGTATTATCGGAAATCTCACCAGTAGTTTTTTTGACAAATTTTGAAAAAGCATAAAAAGATCGATTTTGTACTGTGAAACAATATCGTACAAGTGTACAGGTCCTCATCAACTGTTTGAAACTACAAGACAGTAAAAAAGACATGTTTTTAAATGTCTACATTATGACACAGAATATACTATATACAAGAAAATAGAAAACTCTGAGTGTTTCTAGCTCAAATTACTGTCAGTTAACAGAAATTATCAAATTGAAGGTTCAAGAAATATGAGTAAATGAAAAGAAGAAGAGGAAAGACAGAACGGAAGATCTATGACTAATTTAGGACAAAATACTAAGTGAATAAACTGGCGCTCGTACAACAGAAACCAGGGAAGAGTTAGGCAATTAACTCTAGCAGAATACAATACAGTTGCGCAGGGAGTTAGAGAATATTCACGTATTCGTAATCGACCAGAAAACATTTTGTTAAATTCGTTTCTGTTAAGTGTAGTTATCCTAGAATGCTAAATAGACTGGAAAAAATTACTTAGTGATATCAATAAGACTTTTTACGCATCTACTAGGTGACTGCTATGTTTGCATATGCTTCCTTCTACGCAAAGATTTCCTACAGTTTGTTCGGAAACTTGTTTCCGGTCCTTGCAGTTTATGTAAATTCACAAACACAATTGACGTTACATCAACAGAATACCTATCCACTTGGTTTAATGAGCCTATGGTCTCACACACTGTATGGATTGTATTTCCTCTCCTAATCGAAACTGAGGAGTTTTCTCATTTTCACACTGTCAAAATGACTTTTGTAGGATGATCATTCTCTGTGAGACATTTTGACAAACAAGTTAGGAGAATTGATATTTGTTGAAAGTTATCTCACATGCTACCGGATACCTCATAATCAATGACTGATTGACCAGAAACTATTTCCGCGATATATGTCGAAGTCACTAAAAAAGACTCATTTTGACTACAGTCATCTGTATGCTTATCGCTAATCACTTTCTTTTCAATGTATTTAAAAGTTTGATTGACATATTTGAGACTATTGATAAATGGAGAACATAAAACTATATTTCCTTCGATATATAGCTAGGGGACATCCGGGAAAGACAGTAAGCCTAAATGTCTTAATGCCATCCCCGGTGGACAATGATTGCATGATCTGAGAAACGTCGAATTATATTCTTTCGTTAACTTCTTGATTTCAACTGATTGATAATGTTAGATAATTAAAACCACTTTTAGACTCACTAAAAGCCCACCAATATAATATATTTAACTTTTTAAGGATGCAGAAATAGCTGGATTACAATTTCTCGACAGAAGTAGTAAGCATAAGATTCTGCATTTCAAAATTTGCAATACTCATGACTAGAATCACAAACATTACATATACTTTTTACGTTTTTTATAGCATGGAAATACTTACAGATGAGTTTCCTGAAAATTGCTAACGAAGATGAATTCAAGCATCAATATTTACCTAATTATGGAGAATCAGTTACAAGTTTTGGAGGAGTACCGTTTGTTTGTTCAACTTCAGACGTTGAAGTTCGTCGGGGAATAAAAGAAATTGACTATCTAATTATGACAGAATGGCCTGATGAAGAGAGCGCTCTAAAGTGGAGTCGTAGTCGTACGTTGAAGTGTTGCATAAATTCAATTGTTTCAAAAAAATAATAAAGTAGATAATTTTTCGACACAAAATTCCCAGCGGATAACTAAATAAGTGTCTTTAATTCAAACTAATAAGTGTAATACAATTTCGGCCATAACAGCGAAAGCTTCACTGTTCATATTTATGAGATTTTTAAGCTTTTGGAGGTGGCTCACTAAAATACAATCTCCACTGTTTACGAATATATATATATATATATATATATATATATATATATGACAAATTTAACTACTGATACAATTAAAGGATAAGAAATAATGGAACTATACAAATAAAATCTGAGATTTATATGAGCTCAGTAATATGATGATGAGCGATAAATTGAAGTAGAAAAATATTCAGTAAATAATATGGTATCACTGGGTTTTATCAGATAAAATTATTCGCTTATACCCTGAAGCAAATTTTTAAAAAGCTGCTGACAAGTTTTAATTAATTAACCTAGAAACCATTAAAGTGTATAATACGCTGGCGCCATGCATTTAATCGCCGAAAGTAAATAAATGGTTACTGTCATGGTTGTAAAACTGCAGTAAAACTAAACACCAACAGTGCATGAGAACACATTTTATCTTTTATTATGATAAATGTCCCATAAGCACAAGCAGATGTTAGACGATATTTCGCACTCTATGCCGATCAACCACCTTCCCCAATGAGTAATGTTAGCCGGCATAGGATAAAGCTGGAGAACAGTTTGGAGTGGTTAAACTAAAACTTAGCATCAGTTCATTAAGTCTTTGTTTGAGTCATCTAGGGTGGTGTAGATCATCTAGTCGGATTCATCGAGATGCTAAGAATTTACGGCTGTAGACTGCTGGTGATAAGGCTCGAAATCGTTCTCAATAACACAAATGTAGTCACTCTCTGTGATTTTCTAAACCCATTAGACCATCATGCTCTCTTCCCTGTACATTTATGCTCATTATAGTACCTTTGAATTTCTTTTTCATCTACTTTCGGGTGCTATATGGAGTGTGGCAACTTGAAGTGCTGCGCTTCTGTGCAGAGTTCCGTGCAAAAACTCAATCAGTTCACGCTGTTGTGGAAATAAACAGTACCACTTTTGATATCTCCCTACCATTTATTCGCAGTCATATCCAAAATAATAGAAGAACGATATTACACTACGCCATTTCGGCTTGGAAATAAAAAGAAATTCGCTTCATTTAATATTCATCCTCTCTGAGGGACGATAAATGGATATCTAAATACTTATCATTAAAAAACACTTACTTAAGGTATTTAAAACGTCGTAAAGGTAGGAAGACCCCACGTTTTTACTTTTAAATTTCATTTCTAATTTTCAGTAACTAAGTATTGTCATCACTTAAATTATATGCCTTCCTTCAGCATACCTTATCTTGAAGATAGAAGTGACATATTTTGCAGATTTTCTCCCTAAAGCTATCACAATTCATATGGTTTCTATAGTCCTTATAATAATTTTCATCACCATTGTGATTTCTTTAGATTGCGTTTTAACTTGTAATTTCCAAATAACCTGACAATATGTCACTCCGTCTAAAATTTATGACTTGCTGTTAGGGCTTACAATAAATTGGGAAAAGACAATTGTGATTCCATAGCTGTAAGAAATAAATACACCAAAGATGATGTCTTCTCTGAACTTTTTGTTTTTTTATTGTTATATTAATTAATCTCAAACTTTTAGCGTATTATGTGTCCATATAATTGAGTGTTTTCTGAACATCAAAAAGTAAAAAAAGGTATATTCATCAAAGAACAATTTTTATTAAATTTCTTTGAAGACATTTTAGTTTTAAAAATCAGTTGTATTAAAATAATTTTACTTTATTTTTTGTAGCTGAAGCAGAAGGTCTAAGAAACAAGCAGAACATCGTCACTGAACGTTCAACAATCTTAGCAATGATACGCCAAAACTACTAGTATATTTATACTCACGAAATTCAAGTGTGTACAAATGTAAAGGGAAGTTTTCATGACAATAAATATATTGTATAATGTGCATGCATCAAAAATGCACTAACTGAAATCCGTGACTTCAAATTTTACAGTTGTATGTACTACTCTTCAGGAGAGATATTAAGCTACAATAAAAAAATATATATAAGATTACAAATGACAAAATATAGTTATTTAAGCTATATGAAAAATTCTATCTGTTTTCTCATATAAGGTATTCGAAAATGTGAACACACTACTTAATAGCCCTTAACCCAACCGATGGCTGTTACCCTGACGTGGTCGTCCGACTTGCAGATCCTAATGACCCAAGGAGCCACACTGGCTGGAATTAATGTTCCCACAGATCCCACCATGCCAGAGAGGTTACTTGGATAGCGATATGACTACAAGCAGTTACCATCATAGTGTCTTATTTGCAATATGTTGGGGAGTTTGCGGGAGAAGTCCTGCTGATGGCGAATAGGGATGTTACAGCAATAAGGTGTTCCTATCAGATAACCAGTAGGCCAGCTTTGCTGCCTATTGGCTTTGGAGAATTCGAAAAGGTCAACCCCAAAAATTAAACATGTTGACTTGCCTTGATGCGGTGCATAGCTGCGTGGCAAGATTTTAATGTAGACATAACTCCAAAAATCAATTCAAACTGGCCGCATGTGACTGGCCTCAGGCAATTGTCCCCTTGAATGTGGGGTCATGCAATGTTTTAGATACTCCAAGAAAAATTCACCAACTTCTACAATGTGGGCAACCGGGAAATAATAACAGTCTACACACTTTCGAAAGCCAACAAACCTCGAATAGCCTGTAAAATTAATAAAGATTTCAGGAGTTTTCGGTGTCACAAACAACATTCACCTAAACTAGTAATCATAGAGACGCTAATAATCTCTAGCCAATACCTTAGAGTGAGTAAAAATACAAGATGAAACACTCCGTTCTACTGTAGAAACTTATCATTTGACTTGTCCCATGTGGATTTCCTATGGATTGATCTTCTTAAGGTTCCATTAGGTCTTCTTCCTAGTTCTACGTCAAGAAAGGGAATTTTTGATTCGTTTCCCACTTCAAGAATGAATTTTATTGTTGATTGACAGTTGCTGAATACCTTTAACAACTCACTGAGTTCATAATTATTGTTACAAAATGGTTAGTTGATATTTTAGAATTTTTACGGAAACATGCATGCATATACCTGCTTTGTAGTATTTTTCACTTCATCAATTGCATACAAGAAGTAAACATTACTAACTAAAGTATACCAACCATCGACATTGAATCACTTTTCACCAGTGTGTCACTTAAGGAAACCGTCTGTTTTATATGCGAATATACAGATAAAAACTAGTTAAACATTGGAATACCAACATCGTATTTGAAAGGACTACTGCTGAAGTGTACTCTTAATGTACGATTTAATCTCAATGGCACCATTTACAGACCAAACTATGGGACTGCAATGGGATCTCCATTCAGTCCATTACTAGCACAGTATTTCATGACAAGTCTCGAGAAGATTCATTTTAAAGACGAGGACTGATAATTTTCAACTGTGTACAAGGTACGTGGACGACATTCTCATCATTTGTGACAATAATTATGACCTCAATTAGTTGTTAAAGGTATTCAGCAATTGTCAATCAACAATAAAATCCATTCTTCAAATGGGAAACAAATCCAAAAATCCCTTTCTTGATGTAGAACTAGGAAGAAGACCTGACGGGACCTTAAGAAGATCAATCCATAGGAAATCCACATGGGAAAAGTCAACTGACAAATTTCTACATTTGGGTGCCTGTTGAACAAAAACGAAATTTAATTAAATCACTTGCCACTCTGATTCGACATACCTGTAGCCCTGGAAGAATTTGACCTTCTGAAAGAAATCTCCATCCAAAATGAATACCCACCGAGATTTATTGACGAGAATATCAAATCGAAATTTTATAGAAACGAAACCTTATTTGTACCAAAAAACAAACTATACATGAACTCTAATTTTAAGGAAGAATTGCTTAAGAGGAGAATTTTATAATCTTTGAGAATATTATTCGCAACAACACTAAAAGTAGTGTTCTCTTGCATTTATACTAGGATTTTGGAATCATTATCGACGAAAAGATAGCCAACGTATTATCTGATGCAGGAACTGTAGGTCTCACGCATGCAGATAAAAGAATGATACTTGAGTAAAATAGAATGCAACGATGAATTTAATTAAATCATAAATGAACAATAAAAATTGCAGTCCAGTGGTTCATCAGAATGTAGTTGTAAACTGGAAATCTGTTGGAAAGTGAAAGGTGTCAACTAGAAATAAACACACACGGCATTAATTCACTAACCTCAATAAAATCACCATATTAAGCGTGTTTCTGACAAGGTGGAGACGTGTGTATGTCTAAAGGTTCATCAACTGCTCTAGCCTTAAATTATATAATTAAAGAAAATAAAAAGACACTAACTATGATTGATAAAGCATGCACACCAGATTGTAATTCATTTTCCAATGACTTGTGAATCAATCGCTCTCTCTAATTTGCAAATATAAAAACGAGAGTTACAATTACCTGAACAGCAGAAAGAGTGTTAAAGTGAGGTGAAACTATTACTACTCTGAAATGTGTTTCTGAACCTGGAAGCAAAAACGGCAAAAAAAATTGTTGTAAGAAAGGAAAACTTAGTACCTTGCTTTTTACTGTGAAGATGGCTTTCGTTATATATCTTTAGTAATTGTGGCTAAAAGAGATTAATGTAGTTTAAATGACCTACCTGAAACTTCTGAGTAAGTACGGAATGAATTCGTGACTCTATATGGCCAGAAAGTGATGAAAAACGCCTGAGCATAGCGTTCAAAGATGAGAAAACTAATCAATACACGTTTGGTTGGGGGAAATTTCAATAGCACTCTAGTGTAGTTAGTTGATTAAAGTACTTTTCTTTTATTACGATAAACTATGTGAAAAGCCAAAATCTATAACAAAAGAAACATGAAATTTAATTACACTTAACAAAAAGTCTAAATCTATTTGAGGAGTAAAAACACAGGTTACTATGGAAGTTACACACGTAATAGATGTATAATATCCACAGTAAAAAGAAATTAATTCAGAAGAGAAGTATAGAGGGACTGGTGGTAGAACAAAGAAGTACAAAGACAAGTGTGGTGGTAGATAACGAAGACATAGATGGTACATTGATCGAAATAGCGACGTTTACGGTCGTTCTACAAGACATATGAAGTCAGTATGGACAAACACACTTCTAGAATGCATAGTAAACTGAAAAACATTGAATAAAACGCTGCTATTTCACAGGACATTTCTACTCGAACAACTTATGGAAAACCAGCCAACCAAAAACATTTCCCTGAACTTACGATACGAGTTAAATGCTGGCTGAGGTGAACGATGTACATCTTTTATGTGTCACTTTACAGAAATCTTCGTTGCGTATTTCGTTTACCTATAAATGCTCTTGGCTTTTTTTTATCTAGGTACCATAAGATCATCACGCATACATTTTAAACTGCACTTAATTCTTCTTTAATATTTCAAAGAGTGAGTGCCAAATAAGTTTCTACGATATAAATAAAAATAAAATAAGATTGCACAACCCAGGGGCAATATACTGCATAAGGGCTTATGGTATTACTCAGCTGTTATATATATATATATATATATATATCCTTCATGTTCCCCAGTAGAACATAGGGCTTCAAGCTCGAGGCTTGAAGTTTCTGTAGCAGTGTTTATTTTACAGGATGGGGTTGCTAGCCTCATGCCTAACCTTTCCTCTTCACCAGCATTATTTCTGGCTTAGCGAGGTAAAGGAGTGCGTCGGCCGGGGATCGAACCCCAGACCATGTGCATGGTCGTCGAGCGTCCTAACCGCTATGCCTCCAAAGCCTCAGGATGGTCGGGAGTGAGTGCCTTGCGCTGCGGGTTGGCCACCCCCCCGCACACCTCTTGAAATGCTCCCATATGACCGGGCGTCTTACATAGCCTCTCCTGAGGAAGTTCTTCTCACTGCCTTCACATGGCGGAGGTGTTTTTCGCCAAAGTGAGAGGGCGAAAGCGGATGCCCAGCGCTCTTCACCGGGTTGACTGTCCATTAGATGACAGTCTAGGGGAGATGGCTAAACCCTGATTCCAAACCTCTAACGACTGGCGTATGAAGCTCACTGGAGCTCACCGGCAGACGTATGGACAAAGGGCTTGTTGGATGTCCTGGATGTCTGGCCCCATTCAAAAAGGCGTATGAACCGAACTCCGGTGACCGGCTGCCAATGGATAGTGGACTCCCTACTCCACTTCTACTGCCTTGTAGGTCACACTTGGCTGTGTAAAGGCTAGAGCTGCACTCTCAAACAAAAGGCCGAGCGATTCTCGTACCAAATTCCCATGAAACTTCATGAACTCTCATGTTCATGAAGCCGGCTCATCCTCCCGTAGATAGCCAAAGTAAAGTAAGTAGGTATGCCACCGACGCACATTACTCAGCTATTAAAACCGTAAAAGCACGGGATTCGCACCCAATATCACTGGTTGGTCAAAGAACTTGGGTCACTGAGGCATTGCTCCATACTGGGCTTTATATAAATGCTAAAGACAGGACTTTAAGTGCCTAAAACAGCACTAGTACTAATCTTGAAGCAAGTATACGACACTGATATTAAAAGTGTATGTAAGATATATCTACTGATAATTTAAATAGCCAACTCTTGGCTTTAGTAATGAATCTATAATGTCAAACAGAATTTTTCAATGAACTACTTTGTAAAAATTGTATGAAAAAATAAGACCAAACCATAGAAAAGAGTATGCACCACACAACTGGCAAGAACCACACGGTCAATTAAAAATAAACGGAAACGGAAAACAAAGGGGAGACAAAGTGATAAAAAGATTCCCTTATAACATATATAAAGTTGTTGATTAGGTGGACGTATTTCTATAATCGTACAACTACTGTCATTGAAAAATATGAGCAGTGTGGCAACTTGAGCTAACACACTTTTGTGCATAGTTTTATGTAGATACGTCAGTCAGAAAAATATGAGATGGAAATGTAGAATTCCACTGAAATAGTGACAGCTAACTGCAGCTCGGTTTGACGTACAGTTATTCTCAGAGTCTCAGGGTTAGTAATAATATATACACAGGTGAATCATTAATATTCATTATTTATTTCACACACTAGCATAATCATTGATTTCCCGCATCTGCGTGATTATTGATTTTAATTACTGAATTCCCATGGTTTGTTAATATTTTTAAAATGTGACATTGATTTTCCTAACTGTATAAATACGGAGTTGTTGTTTAACATTTCGACTGTTGTTAGAGACAGTAAAAGCTCTCGTATCAACGTCCAGTCTTTTTTCTTTGTCTTGCGTGCCCGGCGGTATTGTTGTTGTTGTTGACGTGCGATTAGGACAGATTAGCCAGCGCATTAGTTAGATTCGCTCGTAGTCTACCAGGTCCTAATATTCACATACATAACAAGTAATTACTACGGTAAAAGCGGATTTGTGTTAACGACCATAATTAGCACCGGTATACAATAAAAAGTACTGTACGAAGACTACAGAGCATCACGATTCTCATTAGAAACATTGTATTTCGTTCACACTACAATAGGAATATCTGTTAACAGTTGACACCTAGGAAGAACATTATAGACACTTTAGTTAAAAACTCATAATCCGCTTCTAGTATTATCAACACATTTTTAATAACAAGTCTTTATATAAACCTCGCGATGGGCGAACCAAAAACCAATTTGACTTCAGCTCAATCTCAAGGAAGTGGAGGCGCAGCCTGGACAAAAAAGTAAGAAGAGGAGCAGATGTTGGCACAGACCACTATCTCGTACAAGGGACAATCCAAATCAAAAGCTTTCAGAGAAACAGAAACTGCAGATAGAGTACAAGCGAAGTTCAACACTCAAAAACTGAAGGACCAGGACACAAAGGACATCTTCACTGCAAGCATAAAGGACAAAGCCGAGACACAAATCAACACTGGTGAAGAGGTCAGCGTCGAAAAGCACTGGAACAACTTGAAGACAGTGTGGAGTCAAACCTGCATGGAAGTTCTAGGCAGAAAGAAGAGACAGGACAAACAATGGCTCACTACGGACACTTGGAAACTAATAGAAGAGAGAGGGATGGTGAAACAAAAGATTATCCAGTGCACCGACGAGCAACAAAAACAGGATTTGAATGCAAGCTACAAGACACTGAACAAAAGAGTAAAGAAGAGTGCCAGAGAAGGCAAAAGAAAATATTATGAAACCATTGCAAGTGAAGCAGAGCAAGCTGCAGGCAAAGGAGACCTCGCAACACTCTACCAAACAACTAGGTACCTATCGGGCAAAAGTTTGACACAAATTAAACCAGTGAAGCATGGCAGTGGAAAGTCACTCAACAAAGAAGTGGAGCAAAGGAAACACTGGGCTGAACACTTTAAAAGACTTCTAAATCGACCACCACCTACAACGCACCCAACAATATCAACAAGGGAGACAGAGCTACCAGTGAACACCAACCCCCCGACGAAATCAGAAGTCCTGAAGGCAATCAAGATGCTAAAAGCTGAAAAAGCAGCAGGACCAGATGGAATCCCAGCAGAAGCATTGAAAATGGACTCAGAGACAACAGCGGACTTGATGACGCCACTACTGGAGGTGTGGAAAGAAGGCAAGGTACCCGAGGATTGGAAGAAAGGATACTTATTCAAACTACCAAAGAAAGGAGACTTAAGTCAATGCAAGAACTGGCGCGGAATTATGCTCCTGTCCATCCCAAGCAAAATACTAAGCTGCATTATCCTGGAGAGAATCAAACATGCCCTGGATGAAAAACTTCGACCGGAACAGGCTGGATTCAGGAGAAACAAGTCATGCAATGATCAGATCGCCACATTACGGATCATCATTGAACAAAGCTTGGAATGGCAGTCACCTCTCTATCTCAACTTCATCGACTTTGAAAAGGCCTTTGACAGCGTCGATCGAGAGGTGATTTGGAAACTACTACGCTACTATGGGGTGCCACCGACAATTATACATCTAATCCAACAGCTGCACGACAATGCTGCTACTCTCAAGTCTGTGTGGAGGTCAACAACACTCAGCATCAAAAATAACATCCGGATTTTCAACTCCAATGTGAAGTCAGTGCTTCTATACGGATCAGAGACTTGGCGCGTCATAAAGAGTATCTCAACCAAACTACAGACCTTCATTAACAGTTGTCTTCGCTCAATACTCAAGAACAGCAATAGAGATCTCTGGGAGCGAACCAACCAGGAACCAATTGTGAAACAAATAGGCAGGAAGAAATGGAGATGGATTGGCCATACTCTGAGGAAACCATCAAGTGATATCACTAGACAAGCCATTGCTCGAGTGGAACCCGAAAGGGAAGCGGCGAGTTGGTCGTCAATGCAAGGGTGACTTGGAGGAGGTCATGTGAAGAGGAGATGAAAACGTGTGGGCAGACTTGGAGCCAGGTAAAAATTCTAGCAGAGAACCGAACGCAATGGAGACGCACGGCTGAAGCCCTATGTTCCTCTAGGAATTAAAGGATACAATAATAATAATATAAACCTCGCAATATGATATGCGTGTGCGAAATATTTTAAATCTTTCATGAGGATGCATAAACGTTAGTCACTCAGTCTTCCAAAAAGGAGGTAATTTCGTCAGAGAATGAAGGGACGCTTAGGTGAAGACTTTTGTAATTAACGAAGTTTCTAAACTAGTAAGAATGCTCTCAAATTTTACTCAGCATCCAACTACCAAGGAAGTAAGAGGTAAACTATGAATTCTCCCTTCTAATGCTTCCTGGTTTTAACAACGCTGGAAAACTCAAATCCACAGAAGAGAGAGATTATAAAGTGAAATGCAAAGCTACTTATGTTAAAACCATAAATACATAACCATGTTCCATGCTACATCTGTCATTAAACTTTCGTTAATACATTTTTCTCATTACTGTCGGCTTTCCGAAAATTGAGAGCCTTAAACATGGTACAAGGTTCTAGATTCAGCTAGTCAGTCATTACAACATACATCCACAATAATCTTGGCAACAGTTAGACAGACTTCTAAACATATGGTTTCATCAGTTCCAATGACTTATTTATCGCCAATTAACGTTCAGTTTGAATCTAGTCACTCAGTAGCAATGAATTAGAGAGCAGTATTTTTCTCGGAGAAGATTGATAAGATAAAGCTAAGTAGAAGCCAGAACACACTTTCATTTACTATAATCAAGAGGATTTACAAAAATGTCTGATAAATGCTACCCAAAGTAAAAGACAATTCACTCAGCGTGATACTCTGAAGGTAATGTGGGTGCATAAACCTTAATACTGGGAAAGACTAGACATCAGCGGTAGCTTTACTTACTCGCAATCGGTAAATACGAAATTCGTCCAGAAAAGGATACAAATTGCGTCTATGATATGTATGTATATATATATGTACGTTAGTAGAGACAGAAAAGGTTCAAAATACATGTGTCCAAACACCAAGTTAATAGACAATGGGCTATGACTTATTCGAATGAGAATGGCTTGCTATATTGGTTGGCATAATTATTTCTGAGGGGCATCTTAATCCAATACGAAAGCTATTATTGCATATTAAGGACTGTATGCATGCATTACCATCTGCATACAATATTAGCCAAATGCTCTATTACTAAGCACCACCGCTAATTAGAGTTTCAAAAAAAAAATCATTTAAAACCAACAAAAAATTTTCTTTCATTAAAGCTCCAAAGTAAAGTGAGCCTGAAAGTGACAGGTAAAATATGAAGACTTCGGCAATGACTTGTAATATGGGACAAATGAACAAACTGTTGCCTAATCGACATCAGTGGAGAACATGAATTTTAGGGACATTCTTATCAATTGTAAGATAACAGTTTATGTGATTAGTACTACCAAAATAACAGGTTAATAAATGCACAACCATAAAAAAGTATGCTCAATAGTGTTACAAACAAAGCTGTTGAGAAAGCTGTGAACTCAGGAGATATCAACGAATCCGTTGATAAAGAAATGTCTTTTATGAGCCTCTAAAATGTAATACAATTAACATTTTTTCAATTATTAAGAAACGTTAATAACACTTTAGTGTTAGGGTGTGTTAAGTGAACCACTACTCTACAAATTCACAGTAAATTTGCTTTGAAGCGGTAAGATTTTGCTTTGTATAATTACATGGCTTTCTCACTGCATTCATTACAATCATCGTTGTGCGATGGATAGATGGAAAAGTTACTATGCATAGCATCTGCATCCAGAAATTAAAGGAGGGTACTGGCTCCTGACTGAGTGACTGGTTTCAACATAGAACTTTGCACCGACGTGCAGCAGTTCAATTCGCCACACTCTATGTACCATGCAAAGCAAGAGAAAGAAGTAAAATTGAATGCAAAGTAGAGAAAGTAAGCAGAGATATGAGACAAAAAGAATAGCAATAACGAAGAACAATATAGTTTCATTGGGTATTATAAGTCACAAGGAGTGGATGAATCTGCGCTAGCCATTGAGGACGATTTTGAGCCATATCACCGATTGTCTCCAGCCATTGGATTTTACCGTCCCGTCGACCCCAACCAGGGAATCTACAGCTTTCTACGTGACCGCTTAAACTAACTGTGAATTTCATTGACTGATGAGGCCATGTTTTGGTTTGACAACCACTGGCTGTTTCCCAACCTCATCCTATGTCAGCTAACACTGCCCGTCGGTTGAGGAAGGCGATGACTGGGCATGTGTAACACATGTCCTAACCATCTCAGTCGATGAAGCTTCACAGCCTCGTCGACTGATTTCCCCTCCTTACCTAGCACTCGACCGAGGCCTTACCTCAATATTGCTCACCTTATCACACCACATCACATGAGAGATAGAACGCATGAACCTATGATCAAAGACAGCTAGTTAGCCTTTTCATGTTTTCCACTCTCAACGGCCAGGTTTCACAGCCAAAAAGGAGTGGACTGCTGAGCAGTACACACACGTCTCTGCCAGAGACGGCGTAAACTGGCATATGCGAAACGAGCCTTCTGTATCCGTGCTGAGATTTCGTCAGCTATCACCCTGTTGACACTGGCTGATGCACCTTCCCAATTAAGTGGAGCGGTCAACGTGCTCTACCACCTCACTCCCTATTTCTAAGCTAGGAGTCAATGTAGTCTAGTCCAGTTCTGCAGCGTCATCTTACATCTGGCGGGAGCGAATCGCATGCCAAACATTCGCAGATTGCTGCTGCTCAAGGTGCTCAGAAGACTGCTCTATTTTGTCAGCGTCTTCACCTAGAAGGACTATGTCATCTGCATATTCTAAGTCAACGAGATTATTCCCTGGTGACAGGTCAATCCCTGAGTCGCTGAAGTGAGTTAGGGTTAAGTCCACTAATACATCTGTGATGAAATTGAATAGAAATGGGGACAGTTGGCATCCCTGACGGACACCACTTAAGATGACAACTCGCCGTAAGCTCTCATCTGGCTGCATGAGTTCGAGTAGAGTGCCTTGACCAGTGCAATTTATTTTCTAGACATTCCCTTTACAGCCAACCATCGCCATAGTACCTCTCCGTCGACTGAATCGAATACCGCCTTTAGGTCAAGAAATGTAACGATTGTTGGACGCCGACAGTAAGTATGCCTATGTTCCAGAATCTGTCGAAGGGTGAAGATATGATCAATACACCCTCTTCCTGGTCTGAAGCCTTTCTGGTTCTCTCGTGTTTGTTCCACCTATGGACTGTTTAGTCTACGCATGATTATTGAACCTAGAACTTCAGATACCATATTAGTCAAGCTAATCCCCCTGTGGTTATCACAGGAAAACTTGTCTCCCTTCTTGTATATGGGGATAATCAGTGACTTACACCAGCCTGATGGGACTTCCTCTGATTCCCCGACACTGTTTAGTACCTTGGTTAACGCAGACAGTAAACTGTCTCCAACGTACGTAAACACCTCTGGAGTCATTCCGTCGAGTCTCCCAGCTCTTTTTTGTTTCAGACTAGTGACAGCCTTAGTAACCTCAGTTAGGAACGGAGGACCTGTGTCTATATCCCATTCAGGTGTTGGAGCGTGGCTGTAGGCCAATTGAATTGCTCCTCAAAGTGTTCTTCCCAGTGTTCTGGTGGACCATTCTTGGAGCTAATTATGTTGCCACTTTCCTCAGAGATTGTTTCACTTATCGTTTACCTTTTACCGCCTGTTTCCCTGATAAGCCTAAATAGTTGTCTGGTGTTACCAATCGCCAACGCCTTTTTCATCACTTTCACTTTTGTTGATCCAAGGTGACTCTAAACCACAGCAGCAGAAAACGAAACTACCTAATGAACGGATTAATGAACTTGAGCAGTCAGGCAGGCGAGTCAGCAGTAAATAGGTGGAATTACGGATGCTGTGGTGAATAACAGCAAATTTCATCCAAATCGGCCAGCATAAACTATCATAGCTAAAACCACAGTGGTCTTGAACAACTAATCATGATTCATATACAACGAAGTCGTTGAAAAATACACTTAAAAATATTGTTAACACGATTTTGCACTGTATAGTTTAGCTTATGTGTTGTAAGAAAGTCTCCCAGTTAATACACAGATGATCTATAGAGCGATCGTAACATGCGCGATATATCCATTCATCGAGGGGACTGTTGGTCATGGTACTTTGAGATCCATTGATATTTCTGATACTATTCTCCAATCTACCTCTAACTCTAATCATGATTGTAAATTTAACCCTAAGCCTAACCATAGATCCCAAACCTTAATCTTAAACGCCATAACCCTACCTAAAAGTATATATGTGCAGAAGAACAAGATAGTAAATAAATAGAATACTGTATCGATTTTTTTATTTTTGATTCCCTCCATGGAGGGAGGATCCTCCCTCGAGTTGCAGCTCGAGTTGCAACTCCAGAAAGATAGGCGTGATTTGATTTGGAATGACATTTCATAGCAATTCCTGTGTATGATTGGCCCTTGAAGGTCAACTTTTGAAAGACCTTGTTTTTGGTTATGATACCTTAACTGCACCGACGATCAGAGGGGTGATTGAGTTAAGAAACACGATGATTTATAGTTATCTCGACGAATATAAGTACAGAAATTGGTTTGACCTAACTTCTGAGATTCTCATGAGAAAATAAGAGGTTTTCTTGGAACATAAAAGAGGAAGTTATTCTATTAAACTACTTTTTAACGTCGTTTGACTCATAAATAATCATATTTTTCAAATTACCCACCTCTGCTTCGGATGCATCTGATTGGACGATAGAGATGCGTCAAGGTCTTTATTAAGTTGTTTCCATTTAGGCTGCTATGTTGGCCGGACTTAAATGTCACGTTCTGTTAAAATTTTTCCTGGGAATTTTTTTGGCAATAAATTTTAATAAAATTGTGTTAAATGTTATCTGGATTGGTTGGAATTCCCATTTCCTAGCTAGCTATGTTGGTGTCCGCATCATGTGATCTGACTGCGACACACTCATAGCATATTGGCTGCAACGATTAGTGTTTCAGGTGGACTGCATCAAAACATCGATTTAGTGAGGAAGATGGGATAGTTGGAGAGTAATGTCATCTACACAACTAGTTTACTGTATGTAGAAGCTGCGCGTTTTAGCATAGTATGATTCTATGAATACTTCATGTCTCAGGATGTCAATTCGGCCTATTTTCGTGTGAAGAACAGTACTTTTTGACAAAAGAATTCTATCAGTACTTGGAAAACACCTGTAAATGCTAACAGAATCTTCTGTGGGAACCTAAGTTGTCATGTAGTTAGTCAGTTACCGACTTCTGCAGTGATTAAACCAAGAACACCAGTGTGGTCTGACATTCTCACTGAATATAACCATCCAAAGTGTTGCTCTGGAGTTACTTAGTTGCCAAAACAAAATTACGGGCCGCATCTTAAGGAACTTATAGAAATATGACATTCTCTTCCAAAGGACACTCAACAACGATTCTGGTAAACCTACAGTGAAAGCACAAACTTTGAAAATAAAGTAAGATTTGCAGCCTCTTGTTTTAAATTCGGGTTTGTTGTGTTATTAGCCATAAAAGCTTGTAGAATAACTTTCACTCGGATTACACTTGTTGAAGTCAGTTTTCCCTTAGAAGTTTCGAGTCTTAGTACTCATAAAAAAGTTTTTATTAACAGTTTAACCTTCCATTTATCCGAAAGTTTGCAAAGCTTATTGGTGGTTATCGAATTCCTAGGTTATGTTTGAATTTTATAGTTACGGTTTATTTTGAAAAATATACCTATCAGCTGGTGAAGATCCTAGTAATTCAGTGTGATAATGTACTCAGACTCAAGTCTGTTCTAGACCTGGGTCGGATATATTTACATGACTTACCATTTTCAGAGCACATCTCGAAACAAATGTCGGAATCACTCAGGCTAATTGGCTCTCTACTCAGGAACTTCTGCAGAAATGAACTCAGAGTACTACTGTACAAGGTTTGTGTGCGCCCACTCCTAGGTTACTGCTCACTCATATTTAATAGTGTACACGTAGAAGACAAATTAAATGTAGTAGGTGTACAGAGGTACTTCACGCTTAAAATATTCGAAGCGGAACACGGTACAAACCACCCGACCAGATGTGTAGTCCTAGGACTCGAGACACTATGGCTAAGACGGCTTCGACTAAATTCGGTACTTTTCTATAGGCCTATAAACAATATAGTGTATATCCCTCCTAATGATACTCGATTTTCAGACGACAATGGATCTAACCTTAGACACACTCAATTTACAGTGTCTATAGAACGAAGTAAAACAGCCAACAGGCAGAAATTTTACTTGATTAGATATGATCAGCTATGGAACTACTAACGGAAATACGGCCGGAAAGCACATAAGCCTCCTTTTTAAAAGCACTTAATACCTCACTAGAAGAATTTGCGGGTGACATATTAGCCGACTCCAATTTAAGGGCTTCATAAATCACAGGCTAGTCAAATGTATGAGCTTAGAGACTGCATCTGTTGTCTGTTTTGCCTCTATTTATAGCTTCAGATATAAAAGCAACAGTCATGACAAAGCCTCCAAACAAAGAGTCGTTCGTATAATATCTACCTGATACAATGAGGGAAACAAAACACAAATTAAAATAAAGAAAGCAAGGGCGAAGCTCATCACGATATCCCATGGAAAGGTATCCATTTTTGGATGATTTTTATACTTCACCGACTAGTTTACTCTCCAAGGAGAATGCGGTAATGTTTCATCCGGTGACGAGGGATTAGATAGATCCATGATTCCCGTTGGTACAACTCGAGTCCTTAAACCTTCTCAATATATAGCATATACGCAGTGATGGCAGAAGTTCACGAAATAATGCGTCTAAAGCATACGTGTACTTCCCATGATCATAGAAATACCTTGCGGAATATATTAGAATTGTAGGGTGATCATACCCCACGCGAAATGGAATTAACTAAGTACACACGGTAAACAAGCTGTAGTACACGTCTGGATATTCATTAATGTGCCGATAATCCTAACATATCCAAATCACTACCAGTACAGGGCCAATGAGCCTGTATATCTAAGAAATAATGAAAGTATGCTGATAATTGTATTTTAAATCTCGCTGAGTCATTCGATGTTAATATTCAGCCACAGCATGCTTCATTTGTTGTTACAAATGGATCAGCTGACGATTATTCTGGTTCCTAACTGCACATAAATTAAACAACTTACCTTTTGCTAATTGCTTTTGGCTTAATAATACCCGTCTGCAGGTTTAACCGGACACTAACTGCTGTTGTGAGCCGCTTGCAAAGAATAGCGCTGAAAACACTGTTATCGATAAACTAACTAACATTTTACAGGCAATTTTTTCACTTTTGTGAATAGCCCACAGTATCTACCACATCTAATGCAGCCTTCGGTTATTTTTGACGAATTTGAACGATACTGATTATATTATGTAAGTTGCGTTTACCTGTATTAAGTTAGCTTACCGATATTATCCCATGATTTTTTCGTATATATATCTTGTATAACTGAATAACTGTTAACAGACTTCCTCATAGTATAGTACATGAGGGACGTCAGTTTACAGGCATCATCGAATTGTCACAGAAATGGAACCATATATTTCAATCACAATTTACAGGCGGTAGCAAGATATGCTTTACATGTTCGCTGGAGATTATACATACACTTGGTAAATGTTAATCCCATTAGTATAAAACAGCCTCTTCACTTATATACAATCATTTCTGTGCGCAGTTGGAAAAATCTGCTAGATTGTCGGTAAGTGCAACATATCATGAAATACAGAGGTATTGTCTACGCATTGACAAAAAAGCCAGGTCTTTGGTGGATGGATTATAAGTGCCTGGGAAAAAAATAGAGCTTGAAGTCAGTTTTCATGCATAACTTTGTTGTATCCAGAGTCCTTGAATTATAGTTCATTGATATGTTATTTAGAAATCAGTGATATCTTCATCTCGTTTGATCTGCAATGTCATTGTTGGGAGTAAATGCATAAGCTTTAGACGCATTAATTAATGGATTTCCACTGCTCCCGGGTATTTTCTTGGCGTGAGGAAGGTTTATAAATTTCAGCTGTTCTGACAGGAGTTGAGAATATTAACTTAGTTAATATACATATTATTTATCATACTGATGATGCCTGCAAACTGATGTTCCTCATATACAAACGGACGAGAATGTATTATTATTGTCTATATCCCTAACTCTCGATGGTGTCACGCCCATGACATCGTATCGTGAAGTGTAAGCGACTAACAGGTAAACGACATATCTGACCAACCAAGCAACGGCCCAGATTAATTTACACCATGGATAATAAGATCCAAGGAGCTGATGAAAAAAATGAAACCCTTTTATTCGTGTAAGGTGGTATAGCGGTTGTCTTAAGTTCTAAAACACTCGCGTGCAGTTGTTTCATTACAACTAGACTCAACATTGCCTTTCGTCAATTCGAATGTATCGACACTAATGTTAGGTACTGGTGGTGGTGTTTATAAGTTACACTTTATCATTATCATAGTCACAGCATAAAAGACGTTGGTTCATGGATAGTCATTTCACTGAGGATAACGACGCCAATAATAAAGACTGAGTAGTACGAGTTCGGGGACTTGGTGGTGCAGCAGCAGCTGTTGTTGTTCGATCTGTAGAAGACTGTTTAATCTTAGAATTACCACCACTGGTACCTTCTGTTATTACCTGCAGTTTAGGATTACCATCCAGGTTGTCTCATCAATATCCATATTTTCTACGACAGCATTAACTTCTAAATCTACTTCACGTTCAAGTTGTGTAGAACCTCTGTGTTTAACTGAGTAATAGGTATTCTGTTCATTTCATCGTGATCACCTGAGAACAAATGACAATATCATGATAGAAAATATCCCCTTTTTCGTCAAATGTTTGATCGAGTTCATCATTTCCAACCTCTTTAAAAACTGTAGTAGGTGAATTTGGCTTTTCATCCTTACTCTGCCCAATCAGAGCCGGACTTTGGAGCTGTAACCTTCTTCTTCTGCACAGTCTGAGTCATCTACTGTAGTATATCACTAAAAACGGCTTACCAGCTGCAACTGCAGGTTTTCACACTGTACCAGCAATTCCATCATGCCTTGATGAGCAGTCGAAAACAACACACTGTTTACAGGCCATCTCGGGTTGAGGACTGGATAATGAGGTAAATACCATCCTCATGGTTCGTCTTGATTAATCACCCTCTCTACGTAACCATTATTTATATGTTTATCAATGACATTCTTGTACTTAATCGGTATGTTTGAATATAGGTCAAACTTCATTCTTAGATTTGTTAGTCGCTTAAAAGCAAATTGCAGTTACAAACCAGTAGGGTACACTTATGGTGCCCATTCTTGAAGACATGAGAGCTTTTGGCCAACTTAAGAGGCTTCTTCGCTGAATGCAGGTCTTCCTTACCCCTACATGTCTGTTCTATAACCCTGTCCGCTTCTGGTACATTGCACCCAACAAATAATCTCACTTTATGATCGTGAATTATGGGCAACGGTATATTAATCAGTCGGCTTTTTTTGACGACCCTCTCACATCTAGGTATCAAGACTTCATCAAGCCTAATATGGGAGGTAGTGTATGCACTTTCTATCTGTTTACTCGCTTCAGTTATCAAGTATTCAGAGCAAAGTGATACTCGCTCCCAGGACGAGGCATCAAAGTCAACAGTGTTCAGTAATAAAGATACTCGATCCTTCGATACCCAAATGGTTTGCTGACTGAGCATCAATCAGTTTAACATCAGATCCATTATCCAGCAGTGCATACGCATCAACACACGATCTTGGTTCTTGCACTCTAACGGTTAAAACACTTAAACATACTTTGCATACATTATGTGCTTCACTGGTAGTATTGATGTTGGCTGAAGCAACACGATCTCTGCCCTTTCTCACAATGGGTGTAAACTTGCTACATCTATAGGGCCATTCATATTCTCCAATTTACTATTCGACTTATATACGCTTCATGAAGTGAGGCTGGATTACTATCAAAAGACCATGGTCCAAATTACAGCAACTAGCTGGGATCTGCGCACGAACTACCGAACTCAACACGATAGTGTGCCAAATAGCGTGGATGACTGAACAAGTACCTTTAGCGTATCACACCTACCTGGAAAGAGAAACGTACCATCCAGCATAGAATGATATTGCTGTAGACTAATAATCATTACTGCTCTACTATACATTTTTAACGCTTCGTGATCGCGGAAAAATGAAATATTTGTTAAAATAAGTAAAATAGATCTATGAAATACTGTTATGAATCAAAATGAGCTACTTGTGATTTCCTGCGGTTTTCTCATCTTTTCTCCTCTAAAATGTACTGCCGTCGGTGGTGCTGCTGAAATAGAGAAGCTATCCGCTACATTAGTGTTACATTAACAGGACTTTGAAATCATTAGAATCACATTTTGCAGATGCCTAGTCTATTGTTTGAACGTCTGAAAGAGATCAGAAATCTGTTCAGCAATTCAAAGCCAAGTTCACCGTAATGTCATTCCTTCCTGTATATGTGAATTTGCTAGACTTTAGCACCAATCTTTTCATGTTTTCACCTTACAATAGCGCAAACTTTTGAAATCACCATGTGAAATTTTCGAGAAATAGATATCCTGTAGCTTAGAATTGTGGTGTAACCGATTATCTTGTTACTTATTCTATCATCCAACAATGCCACCAAACACTTATCTAGCTATCTTCACTCAACAATATTTCGATTATTTAGACCTGTGTTCATTCCGACATCATAATAACTAGCGATTACTGATAACGCACGCATGTGAAGACGGCCTAATTCTTTTGAATACATAAAATTATTACAGCTGTACACTGGTCTAACTAACTTCTCGAGGTATATCATTGGGCAAGCCAAAGACAGGGATATATATCAATGTATATCAATACAGTCGGATCCTATAAAACAACTTTCCACTTATCCTTATAGTCATCTCCATTCTTCAGTCATCTATGCTAATGAAGCAATACAATTTCAGTAAAATGAGTGCTGTTTACCTTAAAATTTAAAATTTGAGCAATAAACCATAAAAACTTCATGTAAAATTACTCCTTATTGAACAGCCATTTTTGTTTGATCAGGTCATTTCTACTTTAAAAGATAGAGCAGATTTCGAGTACTCTTATATGTTTCAGTTGAAACAGCTGTATTTTTCTGATTGACTGGCTTTCAAAGAAATAAGAACATATTACAAGTAAATCTCTTATAAATCGTTTTTGACTATTACTTACAGTGTGTGAAGCATTTGTTACCCTGACAACTAACGATGAATATGCTTGTGGTGCACTTGTATGGGCACATTCTTTGAGAGAGGTGAAAACAACGAAAAAGCTTGTATGCATGGTTACAAAACAGGTTTCGAAGCACATGATGTATGTTGGATTTATTACTTTACTTTTACGCTTTTAGGTCTCTCATCGAATCTGTGTTCGATCATGTCGAATTAGTGGATGTTCTTGATAGCAAGGACGAAGCAAATTTGGCTTTGCTATCAAGACCAGACTTAGGTGTGACATTCACAAAACTGCATTGTTGGAGGCTTACACAGTACACTAAAGCCGTTTTCATGGATGCAGATACTATGGTAATTACTCTAAATTTGGTGCTTTCGTTTGATTTTCACTTCAACGATTGATTAAGGTAGCCGGGCTCTATGCTTGGCTAATTCGTAATATTATTACGAAACTCTAAACCAGTCTGAATAGTATGCACCCACTATGTTGTATTCTGTGCATAAAATCTAGAAATTGTTGGATGTGATAAAATATCCCAGAGTGTAAGCTGCAAAATTGTTGAACTTAACGACGTTCTTGAAGCTCCCCTCACTCATTTCTATTTTGAGTAATGAATCAAAATCTTTTTCTGTTATAGTTAAGTGTTCTTGCTCTTACAGATCCATATGTTTTATTCGGGAGTAATGCATTTACATATCTAATGGGAAACATTTTACATAAATGTTTGTTTATGATCGTAATTGGATGAAAGGGCGTATTGGGATTCACACACTCCACTTACTGATATTTATTTGGCTCTTGTTGCAGTGAACATGAGGAGTGATACACATAATCTTTTAGAAGTGTTTCTACACTGAAATGTCGAATACATCTATTTTGTTTTCAAATGAGATGTATATTTTTAACTGATTGAAAGTTTTGGATAATAGTCGTCCTTAAGCTTATTGTAATGTTTGGCTACATGCCATGTAGAAGTAACAATTCAGTGGCAATGATACCTATAGATTTATTGGTGTTACATTGTTAGCATTTTAGGACTACTGAATTACCGAATGTTATCGGATTTCTCCACTTAGGTGGGGTACTAAAAATCCTTTCTGGTGTTTTTTGTCCACGTGTTATGGTTTCAAGTATCTCTGTGTTTTCAACATATCTTTCACGTTTGTGTACAACTGTCATTTCCTCAATAGTCATTTTTAATTAGATATTTTTAACTCTTGACTACGAATGTATGTATATATATCTTTAAGAACATATACAATCATTTAACATTATCACCTGTCTAATATTTTACTCTCAGGTCTTACAAAATGTCGATGACTTGTTCGAACGCGACGAATTGAGTGCGTCTCCAGATCCAGGTTGGCCAGACTGTTTTAATTCGGGCGTCTTTGTTTTCAAACCTTCTTTGGAAACATACAAAAAGCTTCTGCAGTTCGCTGTTGAGTATGGGAGTTTTGATGGTGGAGATCAGGTAAGTTCCCAGGTTTCAGATTGTCTGATATCTGTGGCAAGTCATTTAAGTAAAAGCTTTTTTCTTATTGTTTATTTCAGTTGATATTGTTTGCCCATGACACCAAACGCTCATTTAGTTAGTATTTTATCAAATCATCATATCATTTCGGTTAACACACTCTCAGCCAGGTTATGATTTTTGTTTGAAACTTTTAGTTAATGGCTACACTATAAAAATATGAATTTTTATGACTCCAATTTACAGTTGTATGTTCTCAAGATGGTACAACTCTTTCCTGTATTTTGGTCAGACTAGTTATTGGTAGCCGTGCTTTTGCTTCTCGAAACACTAATCCAAGATAATGTGGCGAATGATTTATTTACTCCAAACATATTCATCTACAGATTTAGTACTAATCCCAGTATTTTTATTTTACAATGGATTCTTTTTTTAACACTTGGTACTGATGTATTTATTTGCTAACAGTATTAATTTGTATCATTGTCTTACTGTGTCATCTAAACACAGAGAGGTCGGACAGCGTTCGTCCAAACTTTTAAGGCCAACTGCCATCCTGATAGATACAAAGGTAAACTCTTAGGACATGTTTTAATTTGTACTATCTTTTTCAACAGTATGAAACAAGAGTGGGTTTACAAGTGAAAGGGAACTAATAGCTTAATTAAGCTGCAAATCTTTGGTTGACGTCATGTACGAGTTGTCATATTTTATTTCCTGAATCATTCTATGAGGACTCTTGTTAGTTTAGTTACATAAACTGGGTCCATGTTTGCTTAAGTCTGTTGTTAGTTTTCTGTTTACCTAGGTAATTTAATGCTAAACATGTATAGAGTTTTCTGTTGGGAATGAAATCCAGTGGAAACAAGCAATCCTTGTAATTGATTAAATTGTATCTGTTTGGTAGTTTTCAAGTAGAGCTGCTTGTCCCCTTGACTGTCAAATACTAGGCCACACTCTGAAATCCCGTCAAACCTACTGAGGTTTGGGCAGACACTTGAGATCATTAGTCTTCATACCATAGGTTTCGCTCATCAGGTACATGTACTTGAAAATAGTTGTCGACAAAAGTTTACATTAATAATATTTTTTTAGGGAGACCTGTTTTGGTAGATATGTTGAAAGTGTCTTGGAAAATGTAAGTAGTAAGTTTAGCGGAATTTATTTACCTTCTTGACCAAAAACTATCGATTGCTGTCCGAAATTGTGTATTAAGACGGTAGTTTGTGTGCAAATATCTACATTTCAGGGAGTATCTATTTAAATGTTCACGTTCTTATCTGTATTTAGTTGTGATCTAGGAAAGTGCACAATGAACATTGACGCAAGACAAAATTTTCCGCATAAGATTTCTTATTCAAAGTAAAAATGAAGTTTTACTAGTGTTACAAACAAACCAGCGGCATTTTTTAATTATTAGGCATGCAGTTGATTTATGGCTATTTAACTGTAACGTTTATGTCATTGTAAGTGGTGAATGACCAAAATATTCGACACAAAAAATGTTAGTGTAAAGAGTTTCGAAATAAGCAAGATGTTATTAAAAATACTACTTATGATTAGAAAGGCAAGTGTGGTTCGCCTTTAAACTTGATAACAAATGATTATTTTTAAGTTATAATCTACCATAGAATTTGAGTTTCTGGGATTAATCATCCTTGGTTATTAAGTACGTACATAATAATATGGGGTTCAGCACAGAATTAGGCTTCAGTAACATTTTCTGATAAACCTGAAAATAATTTACATTTTGCACTTGTACTGAGAATGTCTTATATGAAAATTTTATTTTGCTTTCTAGTTCCAGTCCCGCTTCACAGAGGTTGTCTTTTAATTCAGTGTTTTTATACAAAGGCTTGAGAATGCTTGTCTACGTTTGTGACAGAATTTTGACTCATTTGTCAAAAATAGATTTCCGATTATTTTCTTAATTTGATAATTCAGTCAACTTAGAGCTTAGTAATTTTTCGCCTCTTCTGGGTATTATAATTCTGGCTTAATTAGTCCTCATCATAGAGAAACAGACTCAGTCAAACCAGATGCCAGTGTGTTTAATTAAACTAGCAAGATGACTATCTGTTTGAGTTCGTGGAACATAAAAATAAAATTTTTCTTTAGTTTTCTAAGTTAACCTGCTGCGTTTTTGTGACACTTTCCATTTGTTTGTAGTTGTCCAAGAATTTATCATACTTTCAGTGTTTTGCACACTAAGATGTGTCACATTTTATATTTCAGGGTCTGTTAAATCTCTTTTTCTCTGGCTGGGCGACTAAAGACATTCGTTTCCACCTGCCATTTTTGTATAACGTAATAAGTCAAGCATTTTATTCCTACCCACCTGCGCTGGTTCGATTTCGTAGTCAAATTCGTGTTGTACATTTTATTGGAGCAGAGAAACCATGGCACACTGAGCTGAACAAGTCTGGACATGTTATTGTCCGAGATCCAACAAATGCTGGAACTCCAGAATTCTTGCAGCTCTGGTGGAATTTATTCACGACACATGTCCATCCCAAATTGACCCGTGATGAGGTAAGTTATCATCACTGATTAAAACTTTTCAATGCGTTTTATTCTTACTGAATCTGTGACTCCCCTTATTTTGTTTAAATTGTATATCGGGGTAAACAGATAAGTGATATAATGAAGCAAAAAATATTTTTGACTGGAAGTTTCTTTTTTTCACAGGATTTTTTCTCAGTAGTTACATTTTAACATTAATTTTTAGGCTGTGTAGTAATGAAAACTCTTACTGTTCTCATATTCATAACTCAAAAGATACGTGTTTGTCATGATATTAAACTTTCAGTTTTCATCCTCGTTACAGTCAACAAATTAACTGAATGCAACATATTCTCGTCGTTACAGAGAATCAAGGTTTCCGTTAGACAAAAAAAAAACAAACGCTGACGTGAAATTTTCAGAGTATGAATATCGAAGCATAAATAATAAAACTTTCATAGGATTACACACCGTGGTGTAGGGTTTTAGTTCTCCTAGTTTATTTCTCATGGATTTTCGTTTAAGAGTTGAAGTTGTTTCTTGTTCATTTTTCAGAGTAGCAGTTATTTTAGTGTACAATAAAGCTTCTCTTACAGGTGTACGTTTTCTATGAGTAGGTGACTAGTCTAAGGATGTACTTGACTTGTGAAATCCTCTATACAATTCTGGTTTATCAATTTCAAAATTGAATAGATAATAAATGTCTATGTAACTAAAGTGATTAAGTGGAAACATAAACCTTTCAGCGTGCTGTGTTAACATAAACAAAGAGTTAGAAAGTAATTGTAAGTAGTTCAGTTTGTGTAAAATATATATTTTTAAATATCAAGAAAACTTTATCTAGGATTTATTACCATGACCTTTAACTGGGACTTTTTCAAATCAAAATAAAAGACTAACTAGTCCATCATATTTTGTCTATTGAAAATGGTTTTACAATAACTTCAGTGAAAGCATGTAGCTATAGAACACTTTGATGAAATTTTCAGTTAGTGTTTTCAATTTTTTCCCACTTCTCACTGCTGTTGTTTTATTTAAAAGAGAAGAAAGTGGACTTCACACAAGTTCATCTTAAATCTATTTTGAGCTGAACAGTCATACAGATGGTGGAACATAATACTATTGTAGATAGACACATGGACTCTTGCAAGAAATTAGCAAATATTATCTTGTCAGACTCTGAACATCCTTCCTGTGCACAACTCTCTCCTTGCATCTCAGGCGAAGTTAGAATTCATGAGTCGTTGGATTCCTGCTCGAGTGGCTGAATGATCAGCGAGCATGGTTTCGTAACTGGATGGTGCCGGGTTCGATCCTTGGTAGTGTTGTAGGTGTGCACTGCTGAAGAGTCCAGAGCCAGAACAAAACAGCTATCCAGTGCTCCTTGGCTGTCAGTGATCTATAACTGATGCTGGTTCGTGACGAAATCTAAAGGGTGATACTTAAAATATTTTATTTCTCTGAAGTCAACAATTATTGGCCTCATTCACTTGTGAAAACATTTAACCATTAATTTCTGTTTAATGGTATTACTTTGTGGTCATTTGAAATATATAATGCTAACTGGTTTGCATAACATAAATCAGGTTTTGCTGACAATGAAATTAAATGGCTTCATAAGACAGTCACATCCATACCTTCTCACTCTTTTTTCTCACAGGCTCTTAGGTCATTAGTATAATTTATGTGTAAACATAAATATGGCTCACATTTGTGCTAGTGACAATAAATATAGTGAATATATATATATATATATATATATATATATATATATATATATATATATAACCACCATCAGTACATGCCTTTACTTATATTTTATGTATCCTGTTTCCATTAATTTAAGTAGTATGTTTGTTCAATAACTCTGAAAGGTGGTCAATTTGTGCTATTTTCCGTACATTGTAAACAATTTAGAAAATCCATCACTTAGTGGTTAAACTCTGTCCATTGAAATAACTTTTTAAGAATAATAGTGAACATCAGATGGTATTGGGTTTTGTAGCCCCAGTAAAAATGGCACAGCCTTCACGCTTGATCTGTTGCCAACTGATTTCAGTACTAATCTTTTGACCGCTGTGTTTTTAGCTTAGAACGCTACATCACATTTTACGGGTTAGGTATATTATTTGGTATATTAAATCTTCTCTGATAAACAACATGGTTGCATTATTTTGTTATTAGGTTTATCTGACTGGCTGGACTGGTTTCAACATAGAACTTTGCACCGATGTGCAGCAGTTCAAGTCGCCACACTCCATGTAACACGCAAAGCAAGAGAAAAAAAGTAACATTGAATGCAAAGTAGAGACAGTAAACAGAGATATGAGACGAAAAGAATAGTAATAACGAAGAACAATATAGTTTCATTGGGTATTATAAGTCACAAGGAGTGGATGAATCTGCACTAGCCATTGAGAACGATTTTGAACCATATCACCGATTGTCTCCAGCCATTGGATTTTACCGTCCCGTCGACCCCAACCAGGAAGTCTACACCTTCCAACCTGACTGCTTAAACTAACTGATGTGAATTCCATTGACTAATGAGGCCATGTTTTGGTCTGACCACCTCCGGCTCCTTCCCAACCTGACCCGTCGGTTGAGGAAGGCGATGATTGGGCATGCGTAACACATGTCCTAACCATCTCAGTCGATGAAGCTTCACAGCCTCGTCGATTGATTTCCCCTCCTCACCTAGCACTCAACTGAGGCCTTACCTCAATATTGCTCACCCTATCACACCACATCACACGGGAGATAGAACGCAGGAACCTATGATCGAAGACAGCTAGCTGGCCTTTTCATGTCTTCCATTCTCAATGGCCAGGTCTCAGCCACAAAGGAGGAAGGAGCGGACTGCTGAGCAGTACACACGCCCTTTGGTTGACAGCCGGCTGGATAACACGTCTGTGCCAGAGATGGCGTAAACTGGCATATGCGAAACGAGCCTTCTGTATCCTTCCTGAGATTTCGTCAGCTATCACCCCGTTGACACTGGCTGATGCAACTCCCCGAATAAGTGAACTGGTCAACGTACTCAACCACCTCACTCCCTATTTCTAATCTAGGAGTCAATGTAGTTTAGTTCAGTCCTGTAGCATCATATTACATTTGGCGGGAGCAAATCGCATGTAAAACATTCGCAGATTGCTGCTGCTCAAGGTGTTCAGAAGACTCTGCTCTATTTTCGGAGGCTTCTTGTTAGTTTGCGTCTGAGTAGCTTTCGCTCGTCGTCATGATCGGAGCTTGCCAGAATCAGTCTTCTTGCGTCACTCAATTCGGCTGAGGTGGTAGTAATCCACTGGCTCCTACTTACTTTTGGTTTTAGATTAACAGCTTTTACAGCTGTATTTACAGTTAACTGTTTGTTGTGCCAGGCTACCTCAAGAGGAGTCCTTCTGTCGACTTCAGATACACGTTTCGCTATTTCTTCCTTAAATAGGGAATCAGAGTCTTGATCTAGTTGGGCACGTAACTGCTTCATTGCCGACAATTTTTTATATCTGTTTAGTCGTAAGCATAAAAATGCGCGAACCAGGGCGTGATCGGAGTCTACGCACGTGTTTCAGAAGGAGCGGTAGTCTTCAAATGACCCTCGCCAACGATACCCTATCACTATGTGGTCTATCTGAGTCCAGCGTTGATTTGGTGGTGGAGGTCACCAGGTTACGCAATGTCTCTCTTTGTGCCTAAAGTTAGTGTTGACTGAGAACAGATAATTATCTGAGCAGAACTGTAGAAGACGATCCCCGTTGTCGGTTCGTCGGTAGGTGACTACATACGTGTCACCTACATACTTCTAAGTCTGGCACGACTTCCCTACTTGGGCACTGAAATCGCTAAGACAACTATATCTGAACGTTTTACTTTTTGCAACAAATTAGACAGTTTTAGGTAGAAATCATCCTTTAGTTTATCCGAACTGCTGTCTGTTGGGTCGTAAGCGGAGATTATGAAAAGACAACTACGGGTAGTGCCATCCTTCCTTCTTCTAACGGACCTGTTCAGACGGACCGAACACATACTGCTATCTACTAGGATCCAGTCAAGAAGTGATTTTGCTGCCCTAACGCTCAATGCTAACCCTACTCCTGTGAGTCCTCGCGAACTAGCTGAAGGGTCTCCTGATACCCCTAAAGTGAGTTTTGTAGATTCACCTCGTTGGCCCGGTGAGTTTAAGTGAATGACCACAGGATTTCATCATGAGCTGACATCAGTTAGAGAACCATTGGAAAACCTGGGAGTACTGGACAGCTGTTTCATCCTAGTTTGGGACTCTTCAGCAGTACGCACCCACCGGGATTCGAACCCAGGACCTTCTGGTTACAAGGCTAGCTCGTATACCATTAAGCCACTGGGACCCGATCCGATGGTCCATGAATTCTAACTTCGGCCAATTCACGACATAGCGCGACCCCTAGCCAATGTCTTCGGCGAGTATTTGTCCTCACGCCCGACCTGCTGCATGGACTATTGGATCGGGTCCCAGTGGCTTAATGGTATACGAGCTCGCCTTGTAACCAGAAGGTCCTGGGTTCTGGTGGGTGCGTACTGATGAAGAGTCCCAAACTAGGATGAAACAGCTGTCCAGTACTCCCAGGTTTTCCAATGGTTCTCTAACTGATGTCAGCTCATGATGAAATCCTGTAACCAATCAAATCCCTACAAACCAACACTTGAAAATTAATGACCGCAGTTGGGTCTTGTATGCGTGTCTCCGAAACGCAACATACATACATGGCTCGAGATGCCAGAGTTCTTGCTGGTGATGCCTGTTGTTCGATTTGGCAGAGGGTTCTGACGTTGAATGCTCCTATATGAAGTTGGCGACGTGGCCTTAAAAGGCTGTCGGGGGAGTTTCTATGGCCCTCATCGTTGTTTGTTGTCACAGGGTGAAGTGAAGATGACTCACTTGGTTTATCTACCTAACTGAAACAACTTATTAACCAACTCTGTATGTATACCTCATAGTAGACAGTAAATATAACAGATTTGAAGCTTCTTGACTGGAGCACAATTTCATGCAAAAATTGTTACTTTTTCTTGAGAAGTATACACTTTTAATTCTCAGTATTTCGTTTTCGTGTAGATTTAATTTGCAGTGGGAATTTGTTGTCACCTTGTTTTTGTAATTATAAGGTCATTAAAACTGTCGTCCTGAAATGACTCTTAAAACTGTAGCAATCAAATTGTAAATTCGATATTTGACTATGAATTGGCAGTCCAAAGATCTTCATTACAATCAGGAATAGTAAACAGTTTGTTTGTTTGCTTACCCAGGCATTAATAACTATTTTTGAGCCAAGCAATGAAATCTAAAATAAACTACATAAATGGAAAATTGAGTAATACTGACCACGGAATTTCAGTTGTATGATTGATCGATTGTTTGAACATCACCATATCTGTGGATTATGAGTTTTATGTTTCGACAGGTTGCAAGTAGATATTTACTCGAAGCTAGAACGGAATCGCCATTTTCAGCTATTTTTGTTTCCAAAGAATCTTCGATTGATAAACACTCAAGAAGCAGCTTATGAGGTTACCAACTTGACAGTGAAAAGTGACTTCATTGTCGTTACTTTTATCCCCTTTATACCGTTTACTATGACAGTTCTGTTATCACATGAAAGTTATTGAAACAATTATTTGATGCTTAGAATTTATTGGAAAGGATGTATTGTAACTGTTTTCCTCGAAATGAATGATTATAGCATCGGATGGAAAAGAAAGTTATACGTAGTTAGAAATTAGGCTGTTTCAACAACCAGTCTTTGATTAGTATACGCACAATACTAATTTTTAGAGTAATACTCAGGTAAGACTTCTGTAAATATCTTCATTATGTACCCATTGTCAATAAGCTTTTAAAAGAAATCGTGAATTGACAGAATTTGGAATCTGTGGGCTGGCCATTGGATTCTATCCGAGTGGCTGAAGGATCAGTAAGCCTGTCTCGTAACCTGCGGGTCCTGAGTTCGATCCCCAATGGAGTTATGGGTGTGTCCTACTGAAGACTCCCAAACTAGGATGAAATAGCTGTTCAGCACTCCCTGGTTTTCAGTGTTTCCCTAACTGATATCGATCCGTGACTGGACGGAAATTTGTACTGTATTTAAGTACCATTGTGAATTTGCTGTTTCTAAAAATATATATACAATTTGCGTACTTACATAATCTGTTAACTTAATTTCTTTCCTATTTATTAAATACAATTCAAATAGGGTGGCTTTGTTGGTCGACTGGCACAAATGGAATTAAGTGTACCACAATCAAGCACATCACATGATACTGATGACTCTGAAAGACAAATGGCATGGGAACGTGGACAAATGGATTATATGGGTTCTGATTCATTTGAGAAAATACAAAGTCTTTTGGAGTCGAAAATTAAAAAATAAGCCCAAATTTATGAGAATAAAAAAAATTTGATCACTATCATCGTTTCAGTGAAGTTGACTGACAGACACTACTATGACGCACAAGCACAAGTACACACCCCAACTAAGCATGCATGCCCCTACCTACATAAAATATTCATTCATGAAACATTTTTTTTTAAAACAAAAAATCTAGTTCTTAACACTGCTGTTCATATATTATTTTACATTATTCTTATTCTTACTAATTACAATAATGCCATTTGATGATTATAAAAGGTTTTGATACATGTTTCAATACATATATTATTATTACTACTGAAGTTGGATCGGATGTTCAAATCATCCTAATGCCTGTATAATCAATCCCTTACTTACAATTTTTTTTTATAGTTTTTACTTCCTGTTCTATTCTCTTGTCAATTTTTAATCTTACTAATATAATTTATCCCAAGTGAACATTGACTGCCTGACTGACTGACTGACTGACTCACGGATACATCTCAATAAAAACATACTTCAACATAGTCAGTAATCAGAATGAATTTTGGTACATAATATTTATTTTACTTCCTTGTTGTTGTTTTTTTATTTTTAAAAATTTTCTTTTTCTCCTGTGCAATTTATTTATATAATGACCATGATAAAATATTCTCACAATTGAATATTTTTTCAAAATTTTTTTACAAATTTTATTCCTTTGCGCATCACTGAAATTATGTGGACAACTTTTTGAAATTGATAGAATTGTACTTTTTTGAATGGTTTGTTTGATTTGTGGTGTAATTTTCTCTTCTATTTTGTTTTCTTCCTCTTTTTTTGTCTTCTTGATTTTGATGATGCCTTTGTACTAGTTAGTAGTACTACTAGTTATTTTTTTCAACTCAACATCATGTGTAGAATGTACCTTTGGTTTTAATTCCCGATTTTCTTTTTGTGAGAATTCTTAGCTAAGTGAAATGCAATTGAGTATGTATTTGTAGGAGATTTGCCCCCAATTGTTGATTCTTTGATTCTTTCTTTTCCTTTTGTGTTTTTTGTTTTGTTTTGTTGTTATTCAATGATGTCTTCCATATATATGAGATGTTTCATACAAAAAGTAAATCGACCTGTAAATTTTTAGTATAGTGTGTTTTTACTCCGTTTTAATACTGTGTGTGTGATACCTTAAATTTGAAATGAAGAGAGTAAGCTAGCCAATGTAAGTATCATAAGTTTCCAGACCGTAGGTGTTACGAACTTCCGGGAATAATTTGAGCACCGAGTCAGATTGATTCCTTATAAATTATTTAAATTAATCCCAGTGTGTTAAGAAAATCAAAACAAGATTTTTCTGAACGTTTAGCTGTGTAAGCCACAGCTTCTTCAGCAGATTTATTTGGATTTTCATGACAATGATGGATATAAGTATTGCTGATATTAAAAATGCCCCCACGTGGTCCGGGGGAGGGTTGGGACCGGTAAAGAGGGAAGGTTGGGAGTGAGGCTGGCAACTCCACCCCGTAAAAGTGAAAAACCACACCTACCGAAACTTCAAAGCTCTAGCTTGAAGTCCTGTGTTCCACTCGGGACGTAAAGGAATAAAAAGTTACATAAAAATGCGTAAGTTGTTTCACTTTAAGTGAGAGGTGTGTTTTGTTATCTGTATTTTAGGAAAGATGTTTCAAAAAAGAATAGCTTTACTTTAAATTTCTGAGGTATTTGTACGAATGAGGCAATCTATGGAACAGTGGACTTGCATCATTTATAATATGATGTTATTGAGGCATTATACAATATCTGAAGGTAGTGAAATGAGAAAGGATTTCATAAAGTTATTTACTTGATCGTCGATTGTACAGATTAGTATTTGTTTTCTGAGCGACTGAGTTTCAGCATCATACTCTGCACGGAAGTGCAGCACTTTAGGTTGCTACACTCCATGTGGCAAACAAAGGTAAAGAAAAGAGAGGAAAAAAGGATTCAAAAGTACTATGATACCCAGAAATGTAAAGAAGAAAGAATAATAACACTAAAAACCATGACAGTTTACAGGATATGGTAGATCACAAAGAACGAATGCTATCTAGCCTTGTCTCCATTAACCTCCAGTTGGTGGTCCTTAGCATCCCAACGACTTTATTTAAGCAGCCCATATGGCTGACATGCCAGCTAACATCACTAGTAGAGGAAGGTGATGGCTTGGCATGTGCAACACGTCTTCTAGCTATCTCAGTCAACTCACCTTCACAATCTCATCGATTAACTCAAAATCTTAACTTAACACTCGGCTCCTAACCTCGATATCGCTCACCATATTTTACTACGTAGCGTGGGGGAAAGGACGCAAGCATCTGTGGTAAATATTGCTAGCATTTACACATCTGCTTTCAATGGCCATAACTTAAAGCCATAAAGGAAGACAGAGCGATTGATAGACGGTTATCACGTCTACTCCAGAGGTGACGTAGGTTGCCAAATGCCATATGAGCATTTTGTATCTGTGCTGATATCCTGTTAGCAGTCAGTCCATTGAGGCTGAAATGAATTGTAAAATACCATTCTCACCAACAAATTCATATCTGGTTACAGGATTTCATCATGAGCTGACATTAGTTAGAGAACCATTGGAAAACCTGGGAGTACTGGACAGATGTTTCATCCTAGTTTGGGACTCTTCATCAGTACGCACCCACCAGAACCCAGGACCTTCTGGTTACAAGGCGAGCTCGTATACCATTAAGCCACTGGGACCCGATCCAATGGCCCATGAATTCTAACTTCCACCAATTCACGACATAGTGCACTCCCAAGTTTTCGAATGGTTCTCTAACTAACGTCAGCTCATGATGAAATCCTGTAACCAATCAAATCCCTACAAACCAACACTTGAAATTCATATTTAGTGGTTTCAAAGGAAAGCAGGGGTAATCTGTTCGTACGATTCAACACCTTTATGGGTTTCGAAAGATATAAATACAATTAACCGTCGATGGTTGTAGGAATTATTAAGAAACGTTTGCAAGGAAGAAAATTTTCTTTTCGACGAATTCATCAGCTAGGCTGTACATTCTTGTAATTATAGTAAATAGGTGAGAAAGTCGCAGAACTATTTCCTGCCAGGGTTCAAATTAGTAAAACTACAAAATATAATAAAAAGCAAGATTGGATAAAAATATAATTACAACATACTTGCTAAGAAACTTGACTTTATCTGTACAGTTAGGGATTAAAGACGTAGTAATAACAAAACAGATAATAATTTTGGATAAAAAACATAGCAATGCAGATAGGAATTTTAAAAAAACGTTAAAATAAGAGTAATAAACTGGAAGATTGGATAAGAAAGGTATAGAATAATCATTGTTGATACGAATGACTTTTTATAATGGCCATAGTAGGGACAACAGCTGGACGTATTTCGTTTAAATATATAGCGTGGGCTTTAACTTTTAGATCGCTAATGCCTCAGCTATTCCCAGATGAATTGATTTCACTGTCTTTGAGAGGTTTGATAGGATCTTGTATATGACTTTGAAGGACTTTTCAAATGGAGCTGAACGTCCTGCATTCTGTTACCAAACTACATACACCCTTGCTTTTCCCCTTTGCTAACCATGCTGGATAGTATTCCGGAACGCATTTTAATAGTGGTCTCATGGTACGGCCAATGTACTTAGCTGCACACGAGCAAGTGAACTGGTATATGCATGTTGAAGTGGCCCAATACAACAGTGTCTTTTGCGTGCTGGGTAATAGTTTCTTGCAATAAATTGTCATTCGTAGTCTGACAGCGAAGTATGTTTTACTGAGAGATTTCGAAAGCCGTCTACTGAGAAGTTCTGGTTCAGTGTCACTTTTAAACTCGAGATTAGGCATCAACAATTTTGAGGTGGCGACTTGAACTTTTACAGACGTTTTCTTTGGTTTTAGATTCTCGTCTGTAAAGCTGGGTGAAAAACCATTTTCTATCAAGGTCCGTCGGAGATTTCGCAATTCTTCGTCAATTGATTCCTCAGTGCATATTTTCCGTATCCTCGAAGAAAGATAGTATATGAGGTTTTTCTTTCTACATAGACGAACACAGCTTTGAAATTTGACAAACTGTCTGTTCCATGTGAGATTTGTGTAGATGGATCTTCTTAGTGAGTTATCACCATTTCTTTGCAGCTAAACTTCTCGAAAATGAGAAATTGAGTCAGATTCGAATTCTAGAGTGGAGTCGATATTTGGGTGGGCATTATTGAAGGTTTGGAGTAGGTTTCTGATATTCAAATTCTCACCAAAAATAATGAAAGTATCATGAATGTATCTCTTGTAGAGATGGAGCTCGTCGACAGTTGTTGATAAGGAGTCGTTTTCTAGGCTAGCTGTTAAGCAGTCAGCCAAGAAGGGTCCTAGAGGAGGACCTACTGCTATCCAATCTATTTGCCCGTGTATTTCATTGTTAAGTCTAAAGTAGATGCTGAAAATGCATGGCAATAACAGCTCCTTCAGACAATCGAGTGGTGTGTCGACATTTATGCTGTTGGATTGAATGAAGTCACAAAGAGAGTATATCGTTTCTATCAGTGGGAAATTGGTGAGGAGAGAGACGAAGTTCAGGGAGAACACTTTCTTATCTGCTAAGTGGACATTCTTAATTGAATAAAAAAATCGAAAGTGTTTCGAAGAGTGTATCTCGACAGCTTTTCTTTCACCTACCTAAGAATTTCAACCGGCCACTTCGTGATTTAGTGATATGGAGAATTTATCATATCTAATATTTTGGCGGAGTGGGATATCTTGTTTGTGAACTTTAGGCAGTTCGTAAAGTCACAGCGTTGTGAAACTATATGGACGAATTTGTTCTTATATTTTCGTACTAATAGGGGACTCGTCTTCCATTTTTTCCCAATATTTTTGTTATCTAGATCTCTATCTGTTCAGCAGGACCTTTCCGGAGCGACTGTTTTGGAAATTTCTTATCATCAGATGGTATCAGTGAGAGTTTATTTAGGTAGTCCGATTTTTTCAGTAGTGTAATTCTAGAACATTTATCTGGCCATGTCCTAATCAAGTTTTCATCTTCCTTCGTTTCTTTCAGCTGCTTTTGATGTTCTTTGGAAAGCATATTACGAAAGCTAGGTTTTTGTTCATGTAATTGAGGCAGCAATTTAAAACGGTTGATTTGAAATAGCGTGCATTGTCACATGAGATTGGGACCAGATCAGTCGCTTGACTAATTAGGTTGTTGGAATGGACTTTAGTGATTAGTTCATCCACTTTTGTAGCTGCATCCCAAAACTTAGGTCTAAGTGCTAAGATTTGCATTTGAAGTGACGATAGTGAGACAT